GACTCTATCCACCGGGGCATGCCTGAGCACACCCACTGGGCACACGGCATGGGTCACCAAGGTAGTTCTGCAGAAGTGCAAAGTCAAGTCTCTCTTGCACGACCCTGAAGACCACATCCTCTTAAGTGCAGGCAAATATGAGATTAAGATTTGGCCAAATGGGAGAGAAATCAGCTGCAAGCCTTAAAGCCATTGTCTTGTCTCCGAGGACAGAAGTATCCGCCTGCAGACAAGACTTCATGGTGATGGCAAATACACTGTCTGTAGTTCAGCACTCGGCCTCTGCCAGCGGGACTCTGCCAACAGTGACGATATTCTCAGGGTCATCACGACTCCTGAGATAGCAAACGTGGCCCTGCTTGACTTTGGAAATATTGTTGTCCTACTGTTTGACGGCTGCCACCTGTACATCACGGACTTGCAGACACAGAGCCTGATCAGTCGCTGGCCTCTTCCAGGGTACAAGAAATCAAAGACAGGCTCAAGCTTCCTGGCAGGTGATGCGTCCTGGCTGAACGGATCGGATGGGCACAATGACGTGGGCTTGGTCTTTGCCACCAGTATTCCTGACCACAGTATTCACCCGGTGTGGAAGGAACACAGCTGACACCATGAGCCACCACCACGGACTGACTTTGGGTGCCAGGGCCGTGGGTTTTGGGTACAACCTCTAAGGCAGCTGACTGCTTGGACCAAAGTTCTCACCTAATGGTATCACTCAGTGCACATCATTTATCTGTGTTTGCCAGGAGGCCAGGGCTTGGGGTGGGGGACAGCGTGTTTTATTGACACACATGTAGCATGTTAATGGGTACAGCATGGACTTCATTTGTACTTAGTTATGTCGGTGATTGTAAAAGGATCCATTTCGGGTCATCTTTCTGGGTGGAATACTGGTTTTATACAAAGAAAGTTAAATGATTTGTTAATCTGCCAGTTGATTGCCTGTGAAATCACATTGTCTGTGTTCTTTGACCCTCTGTCTGTGGGACTTTGCCATGGCAGCCCAGCGGAGGAAAACAGTCCCAGGGTCAGGGAACAATAGGACTTCTTCTCCGGGCAACCTTTTAAATGAAGTCCTGCACATTTTGTAAAAATTCTGTGCTACTTCATCGAGCCTGAGCAGCTGTATCAGGATGCTGTAAAAGGGCCCTATGGCCTGTGGGTGGGTGACCCCAGCAGGCATTCTCCCTGACCAGGGAGGCTGGAAAGGTGACTGCTTGTCCTGGTACAGCTCTGAGGAGGTCTGGCAATGTCTCTTCATCCAGACCCTGTTCCCTTTCTTCATCCTTGAAGTTCCAGCCAGGCTGCTCTTTCTTTGGGGGGAGATGGTGGGGGGCGGGGCAGGGATAGGGTCTCACTCTGTTGCCCAGGCTGGAGTGCAGTGGCACAATCCTAACTCACTGCATCCTTGACCTCCTGGGCTCAGGGGATCCTCCCACCTCAGCCTCCCGAGTAGCTAGAACCACAGGCGTGCACCACCATGCCTGGTTAATTTTTGTATTTTTTTGTAGAGGCGGGATCTTCTTTTCTTTTTGAGACAGAGTCTCGCTCTATCGCCCAGGCTGGAGTGCAGTGGCCGGATCTCAGCTCATTGCAAGCTCCGCCTCCCGGGTTCACGCCATTCTCCTGCCTCAGCCTCCCGAGTAGCTGGGACTACAGGCGCCCACCACCTCGCCCGGCTAGTTTTTTGTATTTTTTAGTAGAGACGGGGTTTCACCGTGTTAGCCAGGATGGTCTCGATCTCCTGACCTCGTGATCCGCTGAGACGGGATCTTGCTATCTTGCTCAGGCTGGTCTCAAACTCCTGGGCTCAAGCGATCCTCCCGCCTCAACCTCCCACAGTGCTGGGAGTACAGGCAGGAGCCACTGCGCCTGGCCTGCTTCCTTCTTGGCTGATGGGTCCACCAGCAGCACCAGTCCATGCGGAGGCAGCAGCACCGCTGGTGTTCGTGGCTGGAAAAGCTGGTCCCAGTGCAGTGGATCACGTGGCAGCTGAGCGCTGGAGAGCGCAGTGAGGAGGCCAGGGGCCAACGGAGAAGCCTGCAGGGAGGTGACCCCGGGTCTTGGTGACGGCCGGGGCCCACACGCATGCCCTGCTGCCTGGAGGAGCTCATGGCTCCCCTTGGGGGTGTGAGGGCGCATGAGAGCACAGGCTGGCAGGGCTGAGTGCATTGGGAGGCTTACTTCGCACACACACCCCACGTTGCTCCACACAGGACATTCCGGAAGGGATCAGGTGGCCTTCCCAGGTACAGACCCCAAACTTTTCAACATCCCTGTGCCAGAGTCCATGCTAGGTGCACAGGTTCACCCACAAAACACGCTCCCAACAAAAGACAGGGTGGAATATGTCTAACATCCCAATCCTGGCATCGGAAGCTTTGAGTCCAACCATTAAACGAACCCCAGGAACGTAGAGCTTTAAATTAATTTTGCAGTTAGAATGGTCTGGTTGTTAGATGTGGGGGCTAGTCTGGAGGCTCTACTGAATGGCCTGGCTCTGGGATTAGAAGTGTGGACACAAGATGAAGGCAGCAGCTGGGATTTTAGTTTCCTGTGTGCTTGTCAGTCAACGGCAGCACCTGCCGCTGAATCACAGACACGGTGTGAAGGCTGCACGGGTTTTCTAGGCCACAGGCGTCTGAGCGGTATGGCCATGGGGCTGCCCCGCCTCTTTGCCTCTCTTCTCATCTGTGCGAGGTGCACTTTGGCCTTCTGACCCTGCACGGGGCTGAATAAGTTATGGTGAATGTTCCCTCCTTCCTCCATCCTTGTTTCTGGGCCCCTCTGCTGCCTACTCTCCTTCTTCTCCTCTAACTCCTCGGCCGCCCCCTCCCAGTCTCCTTACTTCTGCTCAGACTCTCATGTTGGGGTTCCTGGGGCTCCATCCTCACTGTCTGTCCACACTCTCAGCCCCAGTGAGCTCCTGCGTCCTACCTCTTTAAACACCACCACGGTGATCCCACCTCAGCTTTCTCTCCCACCCTGGCCTCTTCCCTCAACTCCAGGCTCATGAATCATGAAGCCTCTGCTTTCCTGCGTCCAAACCCGAACTCTTGGCTTCTGCCCTCCTTGACCTGCTCAGCTCTGTCTCTGGTTCTCATATTCTCAGGGAATGCCCCAGCAGCAATGCCATTCTCCACGCCTCCAAGAGCCCAATCTCCATCAGCCTAAAATCCTGCCACCCCCCTCCCCTTCTCCTCCAGCCCCCTGCTCACAGGTGTGTGCGCCTCCCTCCTACAGGTGAGGACCCCCTGCCAGTCCCCAGCTGCTGCCCCCGCTTCCTGATGGTCTGTCCTCCAGGCAGGGGCAGTGGCTGCCTTGGTCACGCCAAGCAGGAGGCTGCTGAGTGCTGGGAGCCGTCAGGCTCATCCTGAACAGGGAAGGGCCCATCCACCTCCCAAACCCAGTTTACGCCGTCCTTTGCAATGTCAGGCTCAGGGCCTGGCACCAGCTAAGCTCCCCACCCTTCCCACTGTTAAATGGATAGGAGCAGCGCTAGACCCAGCCTGTTGACTCTGGGCTTCCACCAGGAGACGTGGTTCTGGCCGTAGAAACTATCGGGGCTTGGGAGAGGTGGGGGAAGAGAAAAAGGTGGCACGTTTCTTGCTTGCTCCCTCTGCCAGCCTTGTCCAAATCCCCCCAGCCACCCTAATCCAGCCTGTCTAATGGAACCCAAGCCGGCTCAGGCCCTCGTACGAGGAGCCTGCTAATCCCTGTGGCTAGGAGCTCACCACCTGTCTCCAGGATGCCCTTTGCTCTCTTGGCATCAGAGAGCCAAATCCCGGGCCTCAGCTGGGGGTGGTGATAAAAGCGTCTTTTGGCCAAGCCCCCTCACCTTGGCCTCCACGATGAGGTGGGGAGTTAGGCACAGTGTGCACCACAGCTCCAGTAGCTGCCCCAGACCCAGAGCCCAAGCAGACTTTATATGCAGCCAGAACAACCCCGCGGGGTTCCATCCGCGCATGCAATAGGGGGAGTGGGAGCTGCAAGGAGAGCCGGGCTCTCCCCTCCTTCTATCCAAGGCCGTGTGGCCTGGTGGTTTCATGCCATTCTGGGTGTGAATCCTGATGCCAGCTGCCTGCCCTTGGGCAAGTCAACTCACTCCTTGAGGGCTGTTTCTCAACTGGAGAGTGTTGTAAGTTCGCTAATACTAAAGGCTTCTCCCTCCTGGTCCCTTCTTGCCCCTTTGCTCTTCCTCCTCTTGCTCAGGCCCTCCCAGCTCAGGTAGCCCCTGCCCCCTGCAGGGTTTTGCAAGGAGAAAGCTGGGGAATACCTTAGGCAACTGCAGTCAAGAGCACTGGTGGCCAGGACATAGAGAGAGACAGAAAAGCGGTCAGGGACAGAGAGAGATAACGGCAGGCAGAGACAGGACGGCACGGAGACAGACGAGATTTCCAAGAAGAGGACAGAGGCAGAAAGCCAGGGAGAGACTGAGGAACAGAGACCTAGAAGCAGAAGAGAGAGAGATGGACAGAGACGATGCATCAGACACAGCCCCAGAGAGACAGCCAGAGTCCGAGTCAGACGCAAACCAAAGACAGGAAAACAGGAAACAGACCCAGAGATTAGGAGAGGGAGGGGAAGGAGATGCGGGGAGAGGCAGCACCGCCACCCCCCACACTCAGGAGGGGTCTCCACCCTCGGAGCGGCCCCTCATCCCTCCCTAGAATCCTTAAATCCTCTCTCGCTCGGGGCCTCGGCGGCATCTGTCACAGACTTGTCCTGAACCCACAGCGGCTGGCGCAGGTGACTGGCTGGGGAGGGAGCCTGGGTGTGCGCGGGGAATGGACCCCGAGGAAGAAGGACCAGGCTGTCGGGAAGTGGCAGGGTTGGAGGGGTGGAGGCAGTGGTCGGGCGGGACCCCGGGCGATACGGTTCAGCGCCTTTAAGAGAGAGCCGGAGGCCTGGGCAGGCCGGCTGAGCTACCTCCCCAGAGCCAAAGTGGAAGGCGCGCCCCGAGCGCCTTCTCCCCAGGACCCCGTGTCCCTCCCCGCGCCCCGGGCCCGCGCTCTCCCTCCCCAGCCCTCAGAGCGTTCCCGCCCCTCTGTCTCCCCGCAGCCCGCTAGACCAGGCGATGGCGCGGCCCGGGAGAGCCCGGGAGCCGCTGCTCGTGGCGCTGCTGCCGCTGGCGTGGTTGGCGCAGGCGGGCCTGGCGCGCGCCGCGGGCTCTGTGCGGCTGGCGGGCGGCCTGACGCTGGGCGGCCTGTTCCCGGTGCACGCGCGGGGCGCGGCGGGCCGGGCGTGCGGGCCGCTGAAGAAGGAGCAGGGCGTGCACCGGCTGGAGGCCATGCTGTACGCGCTGGACCGCGTGAACGCCGACCCCGAGCTGCTGCCCGGCGTGCGCCTGGGCGCGCGGCTGCTGGACACCTGCTCGCGGGACACCTACGCGCTGGAGCAGGCGCTGAGCTTCGTGCAGGCGCTGATCCGCGGCCGCGGCGACGGCGACGAGGTGGGCTTGCGCTGCCCGGGAGGCGTCCCTCCGCTGCGCACCGCGCCCCCCGAGCGCGTCGTGGCCGTCGTGGGCGCCTCGGCCAGCTCCGTCTCCATCATGGTGGCCAACGTGCTGCGCCTGTTTGCGGTGAGGGCCGCGGGGCCGGGCTGGGTGTGCAGCGTGTCTCCCGTCCTCGCCCTGGGGTGGCCCAAGTCTCATTCCTTTCCTTCTTCTGGAAGAGTCTCCGTTTTAATCACTTGAGTTCACACAGCGTCAAAGAAGTCCTGGGGGCCCGACGCAGGCCTGAGTAGGATCCACCCGACCACTCCAGCCGCCCTTGTCTACCCGGCCCCGCAAGGGCGCCCCTTCCCGGGCAGGTGCCACCTACGCCTCTGGCCGGTTGGCTGCGGAGGGCGGCCTGACTTCAGTCCCCATTTGCCAGCCTGCCCTTGTTCTGGGCACACCCCCTCCACCCACACAAGGTGCTCCTGCCCCCTCGCCCTGCGGAGCTTTATTTGGAGCCTGGGCCCTTCTTCCAGAGCAACTGGGACGTGTCCCGGGGCTGCTGTTGGGGGTGGATAGGCCCGAAAGGTCTGGACCTTCTCTTTTTTCATCATTTAAGTTTATTTTCAAAACGTCTGCCTTGAACCCTCCCTCAAGGGGCGTCTGAGAGCAGGGTGGGGCGTTCCCTTGTGACCGCTGGTCTCCTGCCCCCCGCCCTGTGTAGGTGCCCGGGCTGGCCCTGCACTGTCCTCAAAGGTAGGGAACTGTCCTGTGAGGGCAGCGTGTTCCTTGCAGTCCTAGGGGCCAGCAGAGTCGGGATTAGGGGGCTTTGGCATACAGGTTTGGGGGTTTTGTGGGACAGTTTTTCTGGGGTTCTGTGGCGGGAGGGGCCTGTATGCCTCCGGCTCTCTGTGAAGGAGGAAGGCCTAGCTTCCATCTGCCCAGGGGAGGAACTTCTCTTTCCCCAGAGCTTCTCTCTCCCCGGAGCAGCGTCTGTGTTTGCTCCAGGCGTGCGGGGCCGCCCCGCTCCGCATCGTCGGCGCACATGGAAGCGCCCATCCCCGTTTCCTCGGATTGGCAGTGTTGATATGTCACCTCCACGCTGGCACCAGACCGGCTGTGTGGCCGCCCCGGGGTTTTTCACCCACCTGTGTGTGGCCCCGGCCCTGCCTAGAGTTCTAGTTTCTGTCTCTGTCCTCTAGGTCGAATGCAGAGATCCCAGACCCCAAGGTCTTCAGGGGCCCAGCTGGGTATTCAGGCGGGCAGGACTCTGTGAACCCAGGGCCCGCTGCTGCTGGCTCAGCCCAGACTGAGGTTGTGCTGCCCGGCTAGAAATGCAAACATTAATAAAAAGTGTGCAACACACAGCCACAGGCAAGATGCTGCAATTCCGGGTCTAAAGGAAATACATTCATTTCCCAGCCACATCACCGAGCTGGCAGGCATTTTAAATTAACTTCCCTCAGGAGGTCCAGGGGGCATGGGAAGGTTGTTCCCAAACTCAAGTGTCCGGGAGGGCTTGAGGACCACAGCATTATTCACAGAGCTGTGGCCACTGGGCCTTTCTTGTCTCCTGTACTCCTCAGTTCTCTCTCTCTCTCTCTTTCTCCTTCTTGTTTCTCTCCACCCGCACCTTCCCTCTTTCTCTCTCCCTGCCACTCCCGGCTTCCTTTTCATGCTGTCTGTATACTTTCTATCCTGCTTCAAACAACCCTGGAGCAGTCCCCCTCCCTCCTTCCCAAAATTCTCCTCTCTGGCCTTCACACCAGCTCCTGCTGTAGCCTCTCTTTACCCTGGAGCCCTGGAGCCCCCTCTTGGCAGCCTTCTCAGCCCTGTGCCTCCGCCTCCACACTCCCCGGTCAGTTCAGCCTCTGATCTCTGCTGTTAATCACTGTAAGGCATGCAGAGAAACCCAGTTTCCAACAAACGCCATTCTAGGCCAGACACTGCTTTAAATCAAACACCCCCTGGTGCTTCCCTGTCTTCCCTAATCCCTGCTAGGGCTGTCCACCCCTGCAGACCATCCCTTGGTGTGAATCAAGAAACGGTGCTTTCCCCTGGGGCCGACTGGGACAGGCAGATGCAGCTGGATGGGCTGCAGGCCCTCTGCTGGGGGGCTCTTGTTCAGGACACAGCTTGTGCCAGTATACGTGGCGGTCCTGCCCTCTCCCCTAGTCCGGCATACCTCCCACATGCACAAAATTCACAGAGTTCTCAGGCCCACTCACAAAACGCAGACCTCGCCCACAGCTTCTAGCCTTTCCAGGTGGCTGCTCCAGCTGGCCCCAGGTCCCCACCCCAAGCCTTCTGTGCCCCATCTGTGTCCCAGGTCCCAGCCCCACACCTTCTGTGCCCCGTCCGTTCCTGAGCCCCCTTGCCCTCCCTCTCTCAAGTTACTGACCTCCGTCCCCAGCCCGGCTGTCCCATTCCTGAGCCCCCCTTGCCCTCCCTCTCTCGAGTTACTGACCTCTGTCCACAGCCCGGCTGTCCCGTTCCTGAGCCCCCCTTGCCCTCCCTCTCTCGAGTTACTGACCTCCGTCCACAGCCCGGCTGTCCTTCCCGCCCTCCAGATACCGCAGATCAGCTACGCCTCCACAGCCCCGGAGCTCAGCGACTCCACGCGCTATGATTTCTTCTCTCGGGTGGTGCCGCCCGACTCCTACCAGGCCCAGGCCATGGTGGACATCGTGAGGGCTCTGGGATGGAACTATGTGTCCACGCTGGCCTCTGAGGGCAACTATGGCGAGAGCGGGGTTGAGGCCTTCGTTCAGATCTCCCGAGAGGCTGGTGAGCTGGGGGCTCCGAGGCACCAAGGAGTCTCCATAGTGTGGGCCTGGGGCCCTCGGGTGGGGCAGAAGCAGAAAGATGGGGGGCCCGGGTCCGTGGTGGGTCGAGGTTGCCTGGCTGGTGCTCCATGTGGGCAGGCCTCTTTCTTTTGGACGACTCAGCCCTGCCTCAGGCTTGGCGGAGGGTGCAGGCCAGATCTCACCCCTGCAGATCCTTCAGTCAGGCTACACAGTCCTATGTAGCAGGGGCCAGGTGGGTGTGTGGGTGGGTGTGACAGAAGCTGACTTTGGCACCCCCAACACCCAGGGGGGGTCTGTATTGCCCAGTCTATCAAGATTCCCAGGGAACCGAAGCCGGGAGAGTTCAACAAGGTCATCAGGAGACTCATGGAGACACCCAATGCCCGGGGCATCATCATCTTTGCCAATGAGGATGACATCAGGTGGGACAGTGGCACAATCACTGGGCTCCTGGGGCTCTCCCTGAGGGTCCCACCCCTCCTCTTGCACATCACCACCTTACACACCCTCCCAGCCTCCCTTTCCCCTGCTCCCCACACCCCCCACCTTCCCTGCTGCCGCCTCTGATTCTGGTGCCCCCAGCGGCAAAGCAGCCTGGTCCGGGGAGATGCCACAAGCCCAGACTGAATAGCGCACAGAACATGTGTCTGTGTTTACAGCTCCCGGGGTGTGGGGAGGGACCTGTGGGCAGACCCCAGTGCAGAAAAGGAGCTGTCAGGGAAGGAGCCCAGGGTCCACACAGAGGCTGCAGGCCCCAGCCCGAGTTCATCTCCAGCCTACGAGGCTGGGCGTGACGCTGGTGGAGGCATGTGGGGAGGGGGTGGCTTCGAACTGGATTTTTCCCCAAGGAGCCCCTCTGAGCCCCCTGTACAGTGGGTTACAGTGGGCAGAGCAGGTGGGCAGACCTAGGGTCAGAGGAGAGCCCAGGGAAAGTGCCCCAAATGCCCCAAGCCCCGTTTTTCCTGAGCAACAAGGATCTGGTGAGTGATTGCAGAGCAGGGAAGATGGACAGAGTGGGAAGGAATATGGGCCAAGCTGGAGGAGGCTCCCGGGCCCTCCCTCACCCCAGCCCTGCTCCTCCCAGGCGGGTCCTGGAGGCCGCTCGCCAGGCCAACCTGACCGGCCACTTCCTGTGGGTCGGTTCCGACAGCTGGGGGGCCAAGACCTCGCCCATCTTGAGCCTGGAGGACGTGGCCGTCGGGGCCATCACCATCCTGCCCAAAAGGGCCTCCATCGACGGTGAGTCCAGGGGCGCTGCGGCCCCCACCCCAGCGTCTCCCCAGCACCCCCTCTTGGGGACGATCATTTTCTGCGTCTGTGTAATTGGTGCCATAATCCAGATCCCTTCTCAGCTCCCCGGATCCTATGATTCTGATAATCTGTGGACGCGTCCCTCCGAGCAGTGCCTGACTGGGATGGCGAGCGAGGAAAAGGACACTCCACTCACCGGATGGGGAGAAACTGTTGGTTTTTTGTTTGTTTGTTTGTTTTTGTTTTTTTAATGAGACGGAGTCTCGCTCTGTCACCCGGGCTGGAGTGCAGTGGCCGGATCTCAGCTCACTGCAAGCTCCACCTCCTGAGTTTACGCCATTCTCCTGCCCCAGCCTCCTAGTAGCTGGGACTACAGGCGCCCACCACCTCGCCTGGCTAGTTTTTTGTATTTTTAGTAGAGACGGGGTTTCACCGTGTTAGCCAGGATGGTCTCGATCTCCTGACCTCATGATCTGCCCGTCTCGGCCTCCCAAAGTGCTGGGATTACAGGCGTGAGCCACCGCGCCCGGCCAGTTTTGTTTTCTAATTTAGTGCCTGTGTTTCTAGTGCTGCCAAAGACACTCTAATCTGAGGGTGAGGGTGGGAGGGAGAGAAACCAAGGATATGGGATATACCATCCTGTTGATCAAAGTGATGAGGCCCTTGCACCCCCAGTCCCACCTGTGGATCTGGATGAATCCAGCAGGAACAGATGGTTCCCTTTACAATAGGATTGCTCATTTTCCCCAAGGCCGGACTGAGGACGCCTTGATGTCCTACTTCAGGGCTATTTTTTGAAACACAGACCCTGGAAAGGCTGAGCCCTGGCTGCTGGGGCCTCCCAGTCTTAGGGGGGATATACACCGGCACACCTTTTATTTCAGCTACGATGCATTTGGGCGCAGGTGGCAGCCTGGACTGAGAGTGGTTTTAGCGATGAAGGCATCTCCTCACAAGACACAGGGTCTGAGAGGTGGCGACTTTAGGTGTGGGGCAGTGAGTGAATGATGCTCTCAAAGCCCTGGGCTCTGTCCATTCTTTTATTCCACCAAAAGAAGGAGCAGGGATAAAAGTCTTTCAAATGGTGAGGCTCTGAGTTTGCATCAGCATGTAAAGGCTGCCCTGGAACCTCCAGTTGGCTCTGAGTCCACCAATCAGAACTTGGTCACCTGGCCACTCCTAGCTGAAAAGTGAGCAAGTGGCAGAGAGACACAGGAGAAACACAGCTGGCTCAGGTCAGCGCCACCCTCCCCCTCCTTCCGTCTCTGTAGGATTCGACCAGTACTTCATGACTCGATCCCTGGAGAACAACCGCAGGAACATCTGGTTTGCCGAGTTCTGGGAAGAGAATTTTAACTGCAAACTGACCGGCTCAGGTACCCAGGCAGATGATTCCACCCGCAAATGCACAGGTGAGAGCTGCCCAGGGTGGGGAGGCTGGGGAGGGGGAAGGTGGGAGGCCAGGTTGGGTGCATGGCGGCCGGGCACACTTTCTCTGGGCATCCCTAGGACAGGCGAGGAACGCATCGGCCGGGACTCCACCTACGAGCAGGAGGGCAAGGTGCAGTTCGTGATTGATGCAGTGTACGCCATTGCCCATGCCCTCCACAGCATGCACCAGGCGCTCTGCCCTGGGCACACAGGCCTGTGCCCGGCGATGGAACCCACCGATGGGCGGACGCTCCTGCAGTATATTCGAGCTGTCCGCTTCAATGGTGAGTGGGTGCCTGCACCCCTGCAGCAGTGAAGGGCAGCTTGGGGGCTGGATTTGTCTGTGAGGCCTGGGATGACCTCAGGGTAGAAGGGCTGGGAGAGGCTGAGTGGTCTAATGGGGGCACCTGGGGCTGAGTGCCAAAGACGTGAGACAAGTTCCGGTCCCCACGTTTTAACACCTGCTCCCTCCCCAGGCTTCAATGTTCCCTGCGCTGGTTTGCACCGTTGAGATGCTGGGGAGCTTCTCTGATCCCTTCTGCCAGGAACCCTCAGTGGGTCACACCACACTCCCCTCCACTGCGCAGAGCTTGAGGGTGTCGACCCTGGGGGCGCACATGGGGCTTTTACGCAGGGACATGCCACCCACTCAGTCATGTACTAGGCACAAGCGTGGGTCTGACCTGTGCCTTGGCCCCAGGCTTGGTGTGTGGTCAGGGCTCAAAATTGTGTCTTTTGAGAAGACCCCAGTGGACTCAAGCTGTGTCCACGATTTGTGGAGAGATGACTTTCTGTTCAATCACTATCCTTTACACAGTTCTAAACTCCACTCTTCACTAAGCACTCACTCACCACCTTCTCTCCCCCATGCTCTCTGCTAATCAAGTCAACTTAACATGACCCCAGCGCAGCTCTGCAGGCGAGTGGAGCAAGCTCGTAAGAAAAATAGAGCTCATTGTTCAAGTCATTCCAATTTCATACTGTCACTCAGACCTCTCTCCATGTCGGAACTCATCCCCTAGCCTGGACCGTGAAATCTTTTTCATTTTTAATTGTGATAAAATGCACATAATATAAAATGTACCACCTTAACCATGTTTAAGTGTAGAGTTCAGTGATATTAAATACATTCAGGCTGGGCGCAGTGGCTCACGCCTGTAATCCCAGCACTTTGGGAGGCCAAGGCAGGTGGATCACTCGAGGTCAGGAGTTCGAGACCAGCCTGGCCAACGTGGTGAAACCCCGTCTCTATTAAAAATACAAAAATTAGCTAGGCATGGTGGCGAGTGCCTGTAATCCACGCTACTCGGGGAGGCTGAGACAGGAGAATCGCTTGAACCCAGGAGGCAGAGGTTGCAGTGAGCTGGGATTGTGCCACTGCACTCCAGCCTGGGCAACAGAATGAGACTGTCTCAAAAAAATAAATAAATAAATAAAAATAAATTCACAATGTTATGCAACCATCACCACCATCTATCCCCAGAACTCTTCATCTATGAAACCATAACTCTGTGCACATTAAACACCTCCCCATGCCCTCCTCCCGCCAGCACCTGCAACCACCGTTCCACTGCTCCTCTCTATGAATTGTCTGTCCTCAGTACCTCCTGCGGTGGAATCAGACAGTGTTTGCCCGTGTGTGACTGGCTTGTTTCACTGAGCATCATGTCCTCAAGGTCCATCTATTTTATAGCATGGGTCAGAACTGCCTTCATCTTGAAGGCTGAATCGCATCCCATCGTAGGAATGGCCCCATCATGCTCGTCCATTCTCTGTCAGTGGACCCTCGGGTTGCTCTCATCTTGTGGCTATGCCAATAATGCTGCTGTGAACACGGCTGTACAAGTATTTCTTTGCCGCCCTGCTTTCTAGTCTTTTGGGTACCTACCCAGGAGTGGAATTGCTGGGTCGTGTGTTTAATTTTTTGAGGAGCCTCCACACCGTTTTCTGCAGTGGCTGCAGCCTTTTCCCATCCACCGTGCACAAGGGTTCCGACTTCTCCGCACGCTCAACACACTTGTTATTTTCTGGTTCTTGGATAGAAGCCATCCCAATGGGTGAAGGGGGATTTCCCTGCGGCTTGGATTTGCACGTCCCTCATGAGCAGTGATGCTTGTTAAGCGCTTCCTTTCTCCTGCTGGTCCCTGGGGCCTCCCCGGGAGACAGCTCTGTTGGGCTGGAGGACCAGCAAGGATGACGGGCTCTCTCCCCAGGCAGCGCAGGAACCCCCGTGATGTTCAACGAAAACGGAGATGCGCCCGGGCGGTACGACATCTTCCAGTACCAGGCCACCAACGGCAGTGCCAGCAGTGGGGGGTACCAGGCGGTGGGCCAGTGGGCAGAGACCCTCAGACTGGATGTGAGTGTGCAGACCAAGCCCCGGGTGGGCATGGGCCCAGGATCCCGGAGGCAGAGGCCCCCAGCCTGTGTTTTGTGCGTCCCAGGTGGAGGCCCTGCAGTGGTCTGGCGACCCCCGCGAGGTGCCCTCATCTCTGTGCAGCCTCCCCTGTGGGCCGGGGGAGCGGAAGAAGATGGTGAAGGGCGTCCCCTGCTGTTGGCACTGTGAGGCCTGTGACGGGTACCGCTTCCAGGTGGACGAGTTCACATGCGAGGCCTGTCCTGGGGACATGAGGCCCACGCCCAACCACACCGGCTGCCGCCCCACGCCTGTGGTGCGCCTGAGCTGGTCCTCCCCCTGGGCAGCCCTGCCGCTCCTCCTGGCCGTGCTGGGCATCATGGCCACTACCACAGTGGTGGCCACCTTCATGCGACACAACAACACGCCCATTGTCCGGGCCTCGGGCCGAGAGCTCAGCTACGTCCTCCTCACCGGCATCTTCCTCATCTACGCCATCACCTTCCTCATGGTGGCTGAGCCTGGGGCCGTGGTCTGTGCCACCCGCAGGCTCTTCCTGGGCCTAGGCACGACCCTCAGCTACTCTGCCCTGCTCACCAAGACCAACCGTATCTACCGCATCTTTGAGCAGGGCAAGCGCTCGGTCACACCCCCTCCCTTCATCAGCCCCACCTCGCAGCTGGCCATCACCTTCAGCCTCACCTCCCTGCAGGTGGGTCCGGAGGCTCCCAAGGGCCAGGGCATGGGGGGGACTGTCCACAAATTAACAAAGCAGAAAAGGCCAGGCACAGTGGCTCACGCCTGTAATCCCCGCACCTTGGGAGGCGGAGGTGGGTGGATCACCTGAGTCCAGGAGTTTGAGACCAGCCTGGGCAACATGGCATGATCCTGTCTCTGCAAAAAAATATGAAAATTAGCCAGGCATGGTGGTGCATGCCTGTAGTCCTAACTACTTGGGAGGCTGAGATAGGAGGATCGCTTTAGCCGGAGAGTTGAAGGTTGCTGTGAGCTGAGATTGCACCACTGCAGTCCAGCCTGGGTGTCAGAGTGAGACCCTGTCTCAAAACAAAAAGAGAAATGCTGTTTTTAGAGTCACTCTTTTCTGTTTTAGTTCCTGTGGGGCTTTTTTTTTTCTTTCTTTCTTTCTTTCTTTCTTTCTTTCTTTCTTTCTTTCTTTTTTTTGAGACAGCATCTCACTCTGTTGCCCAGGCTGGAGTGCAGCGGCTCAATCTCTGCTCACTACAAGCTCCGCCTCCCGGGTTTACACCATTCTCCTGCCTCAGCCTCCCGAGTAGCTGGGACTACAGGTGCCGCCACCGCGCCCGGCTAATTTTTTTGTATTTTTTAGTAGAGACGGGGTTTCACCGTGTTAGCCAGGATGGTCTCGATCTCCTGACCTCGTGACCCACCCACCTCAGCCTCCCAAAGTGCTGGGATTACAGGCGTGAGCCACCGCGACCAGCCATTTTTTTTTTTTTTCAAGGCCACAGGAAATGGAGCTCCTCCTGTCCTGTGACAGCAGCTAAGTTAGGGCCGCCAGCTCCCCTGCTGGGTCCCTGAAGGAGAACAGGGCAGTAAGGTGGGGAGTGTGGGCCTCCAAAGACCTTTGTGTACAACAGTGAAGTTATTTTCATAAACCAAACATGCTCTTCCACAGTTTGGCTCACATATGGAAATAGGACGAAGAGCTGTCTGACTGGTTTTCCTGTTTGCACAAGGGAGTGTCTGCTGTCCTGTTCACTGGGGCAATGTGGATAAGAGGCATAGGGTCCAACATTTTACTGTGGAGTGGAGATCGAATCCCACCCAGTGGCCAGTGTTTCGTGCGGTGTTGTGCATTAAAACATGCAGCTCCTTTGGGGGATTCTCCTAAGACAGTAAAGTTATTACAGCCTTGGAGACAACTCTTGGAGTCTGGGACGCCCTGGATGTTTTCTGTGCGAAGGGCACGGGAGACAGATGGCTTGGGGAGGGTGACCTGGTGTGACACTGCAGGGCCAGCTGGATTTCAGGGCCAGGTGGAGGGCGGCCTCAGTGCGAACACCTGCTCACCCATTTGGACACAGCACTGTGCACTCCCAGTGAGCCCCTTCTCTGTTGGTTCCACACACACCACATGCCTCAGGTCATGCAGTTCTCCGTGACTAGGAGGTACTCCCATCTTCTTCCAGATAACAGGGCCTGAGTGTCCCCCTGGTCAGGCCCAGGGTCTCCGTGTGCTGCACATCCTGAGCAGGTGCCCTCTACGTCCCGGCCTGAGGTGCTCCGTGCTCCCCCACCCCCAGGTGGAGACGCTCAGACTCCACTGGGGACCCCCAGCTCTCCTCCCCAGCCTCAGTCATTGCCTGCCCCACTTTCCAGATACAACTGATTTTTTAAAAAACACAAGCCTGCAACTGCACTGGGTGTTTTTGCCATGACTACTACATCATGACGAGATGTGAAGTGACATCTCATTGTGGTTTTAATTTGCCTGCACTTAGTACGAGTGCACCGGGCATGGGGCTTTCCTCTCCTGGGCTCAGCCTGTTCCTGTCCTTTGCTCATTTGCTGTTATTTTGCAGGAGTTCGTTCCAAGTGAGGCGTGCTGGCTCGCGCTCAGCTCCACGGGCTGTGGCATCTGTGGGCCATTTTGCTTGTTACCACTGTGCGTCCCTGGACTTGTGTTTTTGTTTCTCATAAGCAACTTTTTTTTTTTTTTTCCTACCTGGAGCCTTGTTCTAGTAGGAACTTCCAAACTTGTTTTGGAAGGTCCTTTGTTCAGAGGTCTGCTGCCTTTGGGAGAAGCACAAAAAGCTGCTTCTTCTGGGTGGGCAGATGACTGCAAAGCATCCCTTCCAGCAGGCTCACATGGCCCCGCTCCAGGTGCTCAGCACAGCACTGGTGTGCAGGCTGGATTCCAGATCCCCGCCCCCAATCAGGCGCTCTTGTGCAGTGAACAACCTGCACAAACGTGCAGGGCAGCCCTTCCAGGGTCCTGCCTTTATGCAGGTGGCTTCGTTCCTGTTCCCAGCTTTCCTTGGCTCGAGGTTGTGTTTCCTGTCTTGTGAGGGAATGGTAACTCTCCTCCGACCTCAGTCCTCCTCCTCCATTGTGCTCCAGGGGCTCTTGCCTGTGACGTGCCTTTTTTTTTTTTTTTTTTTTTTTTTTTTTTTTTTGAGCGGAGTTCCTCTGTCCCTCAGGCGGATCTCAGCTCCGAGCTCCCCATTTCGCTGCTCCTCCGCCACCGGCAGCTGCCCCTTTTTGTTTTTTTATGGCTTCCTGTGCCATGCTCTTCTGACTGTGATCGCCGTCTGGCTAATGTTATTGAAGCTCACTACATGTGAGGAGGCTAGAGGGGCGGTGCAAGTCCGGCCTCAGTTCCAGGGCTTCCGGCCTCAGCCGTCTACCTTGAAGGGGCGCAGTAAATGGCATTGGTAATGGCTAGAATGCAGGAAGAGGACACCAAGCTGCCTCTTATGCACACTGCGCTGATGTTGCCAACATATGCGGCCAGCACAGCCCTTCTCCACGGCTGCCAGGTCACGGGCCTTTGGCTGGGTGGATGGGCCCCTCTTGGGCTGTCCCTTCCTGGGCTGCCATCCCCTCTTCGCCACTGAGTGCTCCTGAGAGGCACCACGAAGAGGGGGACACCCCACTCCATAGGCAGAGCCTCAGGGGCATCCCGACCTGCAGGGGCCTCCATCAGGGCTGCAATGGATTTGTCCCTGGAAGGTGCTGTGTCTGATGCAGTGTTGGCTCTTGCAGGTGGTGGGGGTGATAGCATGGCTGGGGGCCCGGCCCCCACACAGCGTGATTGACTATGAGGAGCAGCGCACGGTGGACCCGGAGCAGGCCAGAGGGGTGCTCAAGTGTGACATGTCGGATCTGTCTCTCATCGGCTGCCTGGGCTACAGCCTCCTGCTCATGGTCACGTGCACAGTGTACGCCATCAAGGCCCGCGGCGTGCCTGAGACCTTCAACGAGGCCAAGCCCATCGGCTTCACCATGTACACCACCTGCATCATCTGGCTGGCATTCGTGCCTATCTTCTTTGGCACTGCCCAGTCAGCTGAAAAGGTAATGAGGTTCCCAGGAGGTCGCACTGCCTGTTTCCCGCCTGTCCTGCCGGCTGATTCATTCACGAGCTTAAATGCTTCTTCGCGCTTTTGTTTATCCCGTATCCGGCTGCTTGTTCATTCACTCATTCCCTTCTTACTTTGTTCATTCATTCACTTATCCAGGCTTCTAAGCCCTCTTCTTAACTTCCACTCTTCTTCTTTCTTTCTTTTTTTTTTTTTTTATCATTTTCATTTCTTTGAGAGATGTTGCCTCACTTTGTCACCGAGTTAGCTTGTATTTTTTTTTTTAATACAAGTTCTTCATATGCTTTTTTTTTTTTTTTTTTTTTTTTGAGACAGAGTCTCACTCTGTTACCCAGACTGGAGTGCAGTGGTGTGATCTCAGCTCACTGCAAGCTCCGCCTCCTGGGCCAAGTGATTCTCCTGCCTCAGCCTCCCGAGTAGCTGGGACTACAGGCGCCCGCCACCACACCTGGGCAATTTTTGTATTTTTAATAGAGACAGCGTTTCACCATGTTGGTCAGGTTGGTCTCAAACTCCTGACCTCAGGTGACCCATCTGCCTTGGCCTCCCAAAGTGCTGGGATTACAGGTGTGAGCCACTGCACCCGGCTTTCATATGCTTTATAACTGCCAACCCATTAATGTATCAGCCTATTGCTGCATCATTTATTCACATACACACCAGAACATTTTATGCACCTGTCATTCATTTATTTGCCCATCTGCTTCTCAATTCACTCTCTGCCCATTTATTCATTTGTATGAATTTGAAACATGCCCATTCACTGACATGCTCTGTCTCCCACTTCCCCAGGTGTCTCTCTCTGTTAATAACCCCTCCTCACCCCTCCCTCCTGCCCACACCAGAGCTGCACGGAGGTTGCCAGCGCCTCAGGCGCCGGGGCCTCTGCTTATACTGTTGTCCTGGTCGAAGTGCTCATTCCCAGTTCCCCGACTGAAACAGACTCAGCTCCAGTCTGTGTAGTGAGGACTGTGTGGGGCGGGGCAGGGAGAGCAGGGCTGAGTCCCATCTCGCCCCCTCTTCCATGGCCTAGATCTACATTCAGACAACCACACTAACCGTGTCCTTGAGCCTGAGTGCGTCGGTGTCCCTCGGCATGCTCTACGTACCCAAAACCTATGTCATCCTGTTCCACCCGGAGCAGAATGTGCAGAAGCGAAAGCGGAGCCTCAAGGCCACCTCCACAGTGGCAGCCCCACCCAAGGGCGAGGATGCAGAGGACCACAAGTAGCAGGGCAGGCAGGAACGGGACTGCTCGCTGCCTCTCCTTTCTTCCTCTTGCCTCACGGTGGAAGCTGTACAGAGCCCAGGTCCATGGTGAACAGTCAGAGGCAGGGAGTGTGCGAAGACCACGCGCTGCATCGGTGGGGCTGGCCTTGAGAAGGAACTGGACCCAGCTCTGCCCTGATTCCAGCATGTGAGCTTCATGCTTCCTCACCACAGACCAGACTCGCTAGCCATGGTGGGAAACAGCCACCGAGAAGGTTCTAGCTCTAGAGAGGAACTAAACTTCTTCTCTCATCCAAAGTCCAAAGATGATGATGAAGCCCCGGGCTTTGCCTGGATTGAGGATTTCCTCCCCTCAGTCAAACCCCATAACCTGGGGACTGGGCAGTGTGGAAGAACGTGTAGACCCCAGAATGAAACGTGGGGTTGGAGTGGAGGAGGAGCTGTCTCAGCAAGAGGAGACCTGGGGCTGTGCATCTGGATGGAGGCACACAGGCCTGGGTAGGATTCCTCTGGCACGGAGGGAGAGACCCTGGGTGAGACCCCTGTGTGCACGGGAAGGGCCTGCAGGGGCGAGAGCGTGAGCTGAGGAATTGGGGTACACCCCCATGAGATTTCCAATGCCATGGACTTTCCTGCTATCCCCCCGGGACTGGGCAAGGTCAGACTTAGAGTATAGCTGTTTTCCTCCCCTGTGTGTACTCCCTTAAATCACCCCCAAACCTTGGCTGGGCGTGGTGGCGCACACCTGTAATGCCAGCACTTGGGGAGGCCAAGGCAGGTGGATCACCTGAGGTCAGGAGTTCGAGACCAGCCTGGCCAACAGGGTGAAACCCTGTCTCTACTAAAAATACAAAAATTAGCCAGGCGTGATGGTGGGTGCCTGTAATCCCAGCTGCTCGGGAGGCTGAGGCAGGAGAAACACTTGAACCTGGGAGGTGGAGGTTGCAGTGAGCTGAGACTGTACCACTGTGCTCCAGCCTGGGCAGCAGAGTGAGACTGTCTGTCTCAGAAAAAAAACAAAGACCAAACCCACCCCTGCAAACCTTCAGAAATTCAGATACTTGTGTGTAGTATGAGTGATGCGATACATGTGTGTAGTATGAGTGATGCGACACATGTGTGTAGTATGATGTGATACATGTGTGTAGTATGATGTGATACATGTGTGTAGCATGATGTGATACATGTGTGTAGTATGATGCGATACATGTGTGTAGTGTGATGCGATACATGTGTGTAGTATGATGCGATACATGTGTGTAGTATGAGTGATGCGATACATGTGTGTAGTATGAGTGATGCGATACATGTGTGTAGTATGAGTGATGCGATACATGTGTGTAGTATGAGTCATGCGATACGTGTGTGTAGTATGAGTCATGCGATACGTGTGTGTAGTATGAGTCATGCGATACGTGTGTAGTATGATGCGATACATGTGTGTAGTATGAGTGATGCAATACATGTGTGATGATGATACATGTGTGTAGTATGATGCGATACGTGTGTGTAGTATGAGTCATGCGACACGTGTGTGTAGTATGAGTGATGTGACACGTGTGTAGTATGATGCGATACATGTGTGTAGTATGATGCGATACATGTGTGTAGTATGATGCGACGTGTGTAGTATGATGCGATACGTGTGTAGTATGAGTGATGCGATACATGTGTGTAGTATGAGTGATGCGATACGTGTGTGTAGTATGAGTCATGCGATACGTGTGTGTAGTATGAGTCATGCGATATGTGTGTGTAGTATGATGCGATACGTGTGTGTAGTATGAGTGATGCGATACGTGTGTGTAGTATGAGTGATGCGATACGTGTGTGTAGTATGAGTGATGTGATACGTGTGTGTAGTATGAGTGATGTGAGAACGAGGAGCAGGGTTGCATTTGTGCTGTGTTCGGGTCGGGGATGGGTTTAGGAGCTCCGGGTTGGGAGCAGTGACAGACAGCCATGTCCGTGGTGAGGGTGAATCCCAGGTGGATGGCTCAGGACAGGGATGGAAACTGTTCATTCCCCGTATGTACTGGGAAGACTCATTTGCAAGCTGAGCACCAGGCCTGGGAGGAAGAGGCTTGGGCTGCAGATGCACACACGTTTTTTTTTCATTGATAGTTTTTACAAAAAGCTTGGCTTAAGTTATGGAATTTTGTGTCCCTGGGAGTAGAATTTAAATTTGTTAAATCGACCACTGTTTAAGATCAGTATACATTTTCTAGTATGTGATGTCTGGAGCTAGTTTTGAGGGTGAACCACTTTATCCCACATACAAACTTTCCCATACAGCTTCTCTGGTGTGTAGCTGGTTTTGACCTTGGGACTAGGTGTTTCTGCAGTTTTTAGGTAATTAACTTAAAAGCTTCTCCTCTGACAAACATTTTTGTTGCACTGCTGACTCCCCTTCTCCACATCTGTTGTGTTCCTAGGGCTTCTCCGTAGTGCGAACTAGGACGCTTCATTTGTTGCTGGATGCTTTCCAGAATGTATTTATTCCGCAGGGTTTCTCTCCTGGGTAATGGGGCATGTTTTCTTGCCAAAGGCGGTTCCACACTCATGATTGTGTACGGTTCTTCCCCTATGTGAACGCTGAGAGTCAGTGAGCTCTGATCTCCAAGGGAAAGCTTTCCTGCATTTGCTGTTTCCTCAGTGTTTCTCCCACTATGAATTCCTTGGTGTGCAATGAGTTTTGACTTCTAGTTGGAAACTTTTAGACATTGTTTTACATTCGTGTGGTTTTCTCCACTCTGAACTCTATGATTCAGAATTAGAAGCAGTTATTAGCAAATGCACTTCCACACTGATTGCGTTGAGGATTTCTCCCCAGTGTGAGGTTTCTGGCGTAGAGTCCTGGCTTCCTGCAGAAGGCTTTCACGCTCTGCCATGTTCAGCCTGCGGCCTCTCTAGGAACTCGGATGCACCGCGAGGCCTCTCCCCCTCCCGTGGGCTTTCTCACATTCGGTCTCCTTGCAGATTATCTCCACAGCATGAGCCATTCTGTGTACAGTGGGGCATCCTCTGTTACTGAAGATGTTATCAGATTTAGTACATTCACAAGGTTTCTCTCCTTCCCGAATTTTCTGAGGTATACAAATAACTGACTTCCACAAGAGGGCTTTTCCACACTCAGTGTGTACACACGGTTTCTGCCTGTGATCATTTCTTTTATTCTTTTATTTTTTCGAGATAGGGTCTCGCTCAGTTTCTTAGGCTGGAGTGCAGTGGCACAATCCTCGGTCACTGTAGTCTCGACCTGGGCTCAAGCGATCCTCCTGCCTCAGCCTCCTCAGTAGCTGGTGCACACCACCATAACCAGCTAATTTTTTATTTTTTGTGAGACGATGTCTCACTATGTTGCCCAGGCTGATCTCGAACTTCTGAGCTCAAGCGATCCTCCTGCCTCCACCTCCCAAAGTGCTGGGATTACAAACAGGAGCCATCGCACCTAGCCTCTTTGATTGTTTCTATGGTGTTCAGTGGAGGCTGACACCTCCCTAAAGATATTCCTGTTTTTTTTTGTTTTTTTTTTTTTTGCATGCATGGGTTTGAATTCTTTGAGGTCTAATCAATTTATTTGGACCCCTGAATAAAGTTTTATGAGTTTTCTTCTATGTGTGGAATTTATAAGGCATTCTCCCAGTGTGGTTTCTCTTCTGTCGAGTGAGAGGTGACCTGTACCTAAGGTTTTGTCCCATTTGTTGCCCTGGAATTATTTCTCCCAGTATGAATTACATGTTCCAGTGAAAATGGAGTTCTGGGTTGGAGGCTTATTCTATGTTTACACAATTAAAATTGCAGTGCTCCTCTCTGAGATGAGAGTTCTAAAGCAGAGTAAGATTACGTTTTGATGTAAGCTTTATCCACTTACTTATAAGGTCTCACCTAGAGCTTCTGTATAGTAACCATATTCTGAGGCTTTCTCACTTGTGTGAATCTTCTGACACATTTATTATAGCTTTGTCACATTTCTTATCCTTTTTGCTCTTTAGAAATTTCCCCTTAATTTATTACATTCATTGCTTACTGTAAACAGTCCAGGTAACTGACTTTATTCAGTTACTTCGTGTTCAATAAATTTAACTTTTCCCAAAAGTCTGACGTGGGTCTTCAGTTGCTTCTTTATACAGATACTGTTTCATAAAACTTCTTCAAAAATGGAATAAAATGCACAATTCCAGGTAAATCTTCCCACCATTTTATAGAATGAAACTGCTTCACAAATACTCTTTGTTATATTGATACCTTTGTTTCTAAATATGAAAAATTCCAAACTGTAAATATTTTCCATCTCTTGGGCTTTGAGGGGGGAAAAACTGCTGTAGTATGGACAGCCAGAGTGGAATACTGATGGTTATTACAAGTAGCTTGGGGGGTTTCAAAAATGACATTCCATGCTGTGGAGAAAAGGCTAAAGAAATGTAAGGGACAGGAACCAAAAAGGAATAAAGCTCTGATAAGAAGAAACTGACCAGTTGGATGGAATTCCAAAAGGTATTCAAGGGTGTGGAGAAGTAAATTAGTAAAAGGACTGGATTTGGCTGAGTGCGGTGGCTCATGCCTGTAATCCCAGCACTTTGGGAGGCTGAGGTGAGTGGATCACTTGAGGCCAGGAGTTCAAGACCAGCCTGGCCAACATGGCAAAACACCATCTCTACTAAAAACACAAAATTAGCTGGGTGTGGTGGCATGTGTCTGTAATCCCAGTTACTTGGGGGGGGGGGGGTGCTGAGGCTGGAGAATTGCTTGAACCCAGGAGACAGAGGTTTCAGTGAGTCAAGATATCATGCCACTGCACTCCAGCCTGGGCAACAGAGAGAAATTCTGTCTCCAAAAAAAAGAAAAAAGAAGACTGGATTTGAAAATTTTAAGCCTCATCACTTCATTTGTGGATTACTGTTTTACTCTATTTAGGCTGCTAGAAAAGAATACCATAGACTCAGTGGCTTCTAAAAACAGACCTTTCTCATAGTTCTGGAGGCTGGGAAGTCCAAGAGCAAGACACCAGGGGACTTGGTGTCTGGTAAGGGCTGCCTCGTTGTTCATAAACAACACTTCCTTGCTGTGTCCTCATATGGTGGGAGGTGTGAGGGCATCCTGGGGTCTCTTTATAAGGGCTCTAGTGCCATTCCCAAGGGCTCTACTCTCATAACCTCCCACAGGTCCCATCTCCAATTACCACACATTGGGGGTTAGGATCTCACCATATGAATTTTGGAGCAACATAAATATTCAGCCTATGGCAATTACTCTGTCAGAATACTAACTAGCCTTTCCGCTTCTTGTATCTTTTCCCTCTTATTCATCCTACACAGTAATATAAAAAATCACCGTTCCATGGCACCCTGGTGCTGTGGCCCCATTGCTAGGGTCCCAGCCCTCTCCTGTCACCTCCATCTGGCTGTGATTTATTCTCAAATTTACCTGCAGACTCACATAACAGAAATAGCAGAAAGGGTACATTGGTCTAGGGGAACGTGGCCCCAGGCACTCTTCACTCATACAGTCTGCCAGATGAGGTATGATCAGAGCTCTCAAATATTGAATTTACCTGCAGTATCGTTTTCCCATTCTGGTCTGCAGACAGGTAAAACCTCCAGGGCGCACAGACCCTGTCTTGCCCATGCCCTGTGTGCTGCTTTAAGTCAGCTTTTGCATCGTGACCTTGCACTGTGTCATGGTTAAGGCTTCTTGAGGTCAACTCCAGCTCTGCTGGATGAGTGACCTTGGGCGAGTTACTCATTTCTCCCACAGTCACTGAAAGCCAGAG